TAAAAAAATAATATATATTAATAATTATCAAATTTAAAAATTTAAAAATTTAAAAATACTATTATTAGATATATCTTAATATGATAAATTTAATAAACTTTATTTCATCTTTTTATAATCACTAGATATTAAAATATTATAATTTTTTTACAATGGTTTATAACCAATTTATACTTATGCTTTAAGGGATAATAAAAGCTGAGAAAAAAATTTTAAAGAAATTAATAGACAATATAATATATCAATAAAATGCATATATCAAATTTGAAAAGATAAAAAAGTTAATAAAATTGCTTAAAATTAATCAATAGCTGATATTTTTAATGTTAAGTTTTATGTTATAATGAAACCTTTAAAATTATATCATTAGCTAAAATAAAGAATGTATTATTTTTTCTTTATTTACCTTATTATTAAAGATAAATAATTAAAAAAAAAGGTAATATAAGTATAGCTTCTACTTAGACAGATAATATTATTAATAATACTTCTTCTAATAATAATATATCTAGAATAAACCTAAATTTAAAAAAAGTATTAAAAGAAATAAATAGTCTTAATTTATCTGTTTAGATTCTGATCTTTTAACTTTATAGTAAATATTTTATAGCATTTATTATCTTATTAAAATACTCTTTAGTCTTTACAAAATACTCTTCAAACTTTATAAAGTTTACATATTTTATTAATGTATTATTTGTATTCTTATTATATAATTATTATTTATTTTTTTGAAAATTATTTTTTTTATTTGTAATGAAAAGTTAATAAATACTTAAACTAAATCATACTCCTCTTTTGATAAACTTTTAATTTCTAAAGTTTTTTTATATGTTAGAATAATATAAGTCTTTTTATATAACTTTATATATAACTGAATGCATATTACATTTCTAATTCATTAACCAGCTGTCTTACTAAATCAATTTATAAAAGTAATAGAAATAGACATTTAACTCTAATTCTTTATTAACTCCATGATAGTCTTATAACAGTTCAGCATAACGGATATGCTTATATTACCTTTTTGATCATTATACTGATTATATATAATTGAATTATCACATTATATAAAATTAGCTGATCTAAAGTTTAAAGCTTCAGCTAACATAGCATATAAATGAGCAAACTTTACTAATCAAAAAATTTGATATTTTAGATTATATATAATATACTTCTAAAATAGTAAATCAAGATCAAGCTTATTATTTAATTTAGCTTAAAGTTAAAATAATTAATTAGATAATTTACATAATAAATTAATTATTTTAGATTTCAAAGGTTTGAGCAAAGTTACATATAAGGGTGAACTATATTAACCATTATATTTCATATTTTAAATTATATAAAAAAATAATATAAGTATTACAATAAAATTTTAAACAACACAAAAGTTAGCTTTAAGATAACTTTTTGAATATTTCATATATAATTTATATGTTATTAAAAATTTTAATTATTTAGATTCAAAGTATTGAGCAAAGATAGATATATAAGGATAAACTATGACAACTATTATTTTATTTATTTTAGGTTTTATAGAATATAATATAAAAATATTACAATAAAATTTTAAACAATACAAAATTTAGCTTTGAGACAACTTTTTGAATATTTTAAATATAAATCATATATTATTATAATTATATTAATTTTGATAAATGTGATTTCTAGTATAACTTATCCAATAATAATTATATTTTAATAAAATTTAATATGTTATTTCATTATATTAAAATACAGCTACTTATAAAATTATGTAAGTTTTCTGATCAGAGCATTTTATATGTGATAAAAATGAATAAATTGATTAGCAAAATGTGATAAAATTAAGTATGTCTGCTATACTTAGTAGTTCTAAGTCATAAAATTTGATTTCTTAAATTATGTATTTTAAAGAATAGATAAAATTATAGCATAATACTAATTAAAATTAACTGAAAATGTATTATAGATTACTATGATATTGATACTATTTTTTAGCAATAAAATAGATGTAAGATACTGTATTTTATAGAACCTTTACAATAGAAAGAGAGAAATAGCCAGAAAAAATCAATTTACTTTTATAAGCCAAATATAATTTTAGGTTAAAATATGTTCAGATTTAACATTAACTCATTTTTTATTTTTTTCAGCCATTTTACCCTTTTTTATTATAAAGATCCTATATAATTAACTCTATAAAATTAAAGGTCAAAGTAATAAAAACATAAAAATATTAACTTAATTATAAAATGGTTATAAAGAATAAAAATAAATAAATATCAATTTAAATATAAAAAATCAATAGAATATTAAAAACAATAAATAAGTAATATTATACTCATAATTAGGTAACAGTTTAATGCAACTGGATAGCACTCTTAAAGAGTACTATATAGTAATAAAATAGACTTATTTTTAGTTTAGATATTTGTTTTACATATGTTATTATAATATATAAAAATAGAGTCTTATAAAATCTAAAGTTAAAATCAATAAAGAATTTATTATCAAATTTTTATTTATTATAATATTATAAATTCATTTACTTAATGATATCTATTTTAAATTTTTACTTTAAAGATTTTAATATATTAAAAATTGCAATAAATTATAAGAGAGAAAATTAAAAATATATTTACTTTTTATAATATATTAAAAAAAAATAAAAAGTATAATATTTTATAGATAATGTTTTAAATAATTTAGTTTAGTTTAAATTATAAATAATTTGAATTTATATTAAAATTTTGATTCAGTTTGATTTATATTATTAATTTGAAAAGATATTATTATTGTTTTAATTGAATAATATTTTATTGTTTATTTATAATAATATTTTTATAATTTTAATTAAATAATTCTTTTATTGTTTATTTATAATAATGTTATTATTATTTTAATTAACGATTTTTTATTATTTATTTAGAATAATAATTTAATTATTTTAATTAAATGATATTTTTATCATTTATTTAAAATGATATTTTTAATTATTTTAATGAAAGAATATTTTATTATTCTAATTAAGTGATATTTTTATCATTTGTTTAAAATGATAATTTTAATTATTTTAAATAAAATATATTCTTATTATTTGTTTGAAATGATAATATCAATTATTCTAATTGATTGATGTCTTTATTATTTATTTAAAATGATAATTTCAATTATTTCAAATAAATAATATTCTTATTATTTATTTAGAATGATAATATTAATCATTCTAATTAAACTATATTTTTATTATTTATTTAAATGATAATTTTAATCATTTTAATAAATGATATTCTTATTATTTAAAATATTTTATTTTATATAGGTATATAATTATAAAAAGATAATAAGTAATATATATATTTTTTTTATTATTTTTATAAATATAAATTATAAAATAAAAACAAAAAAATTTTTTTGTTTTAAAAATAATTTTTTTTTACTCTTTATTTAAATGTATATATGATAGTATAATCTGCTCATGCTTAAGTAGATACCAAAATATTTTGCATATAGGACCTTTGTAATAAAAAATGTAAAAATAGCAATAAAAAAATAAGTTAACGTTAAATCTAAACATATTTTGATCCTAAAATTTATATTTGACATATAAAAGTAAAATTGATTTTTACTGGCAGTTTCTTCCTTTCTATTTTAGAAGACTTATATAGTTCTTTGTTAGGCTTCAGACCAATTATCTAATAATAAATTACAAATATGAAATTTTATAATGATACAAGTTTAATTAAATACAAATTTATTAATAAATATAGTTTAGAATTTTTGACTGTATTAGATTCTTTGAAAATTCTCTTTATTTTTTTTGAATATAATAGTTATGAATGAGTATCTCTTTTAATCCTTGTCATATTTGGCTAAAAAAAAGTTACAATTAAATGATCTATAAAAAAATGAAAAAAAAATGCAATCTATAAATTTGTTGATCATAAAATTTTTTTCAGACAGGAACGATGATATACCCATTTTTCACAATATTTGATAGTGAATTGACTACCAAAAGAGGAGAAAAATTTTTTTGAGTTAAAAGGAAATTAATAATTGTTCGTACATTTTTGTTAATAAGAAACGTTTACTACGCCTATATGTAACACATTTTAATGCTAACTTTAAACATTCTAGTTGAAGGATGAAGTAAATTAAAGTATTAATAGTATTAATAGTTATTTGTTCGGTTATACTAAATCAAGTTAGTAGTTTATCTATCAAAAAGAATTATTTAAGGATTGAAAAGGTACTCGATCCGAGATCCGAATTATTGGCAATCCCCCCTACAAATTTTTTTTTTTAAAAAAAAAAAAAAAAAATAATCTGCCATGTAATGCCATCGCAAAATTATACCCGTTTCATCCTGCAACGTGCTTCAAAGTCGGCCGGAAACCTCCCTCATTTTCTTAATAATAAAAAAAAAAAATCGAAAAAAAAAAAAAATTTATTTACTTTAACTTATTTCAGTTCTTTCTTCTTTGTTATAAATAAATAAAGTGATTACCTTTTGGGTAATTTTTGGTAATACAATTTGCTTAGACAACATCCATCATTGTATTATTGTATTCAATTTGATCCAAATCCTAATAAGGCCAAAAAACTTACCTCCTTCGCCTCATTCAACAAATTGCGCCGTTTTCTTATTTATTTGTTTATATATTTTACAGAAATACTCGAACAAAAAATATTCAGTTGAACTGTAAAATCAAAGGAATCAAAATAATAAAAATAATATTTCTACCTACTATTATTACAGTAATACTAGATTGACGGAAAGGTGTAACTCTTTATAGTTATTTTGAACACAGTTTTTTCCATTACGGAATTTTGAAAAAAAAAAATAATCTTATGCCGGTGACCACCAACAATAATTATACGAAATAAAACGTAATCAAATACTAAGATATTTAAATAATAAACTATAATTATTAGTTATCAAACTCAATTGGTGTGAATTTTTGTTTTGATAATAAGTAGAATATTTTCTACTCATTATCACAAAAAAAAAAAAAATGGGGGTAGCAAACGGCAAATATGACGTTGATTTTACTGAAGAAGGTTTGTTTACTGTTAGATTGCTCGTTTGATTTGAAACATCTTTGCTTATAAATTTTTAAATTTTTTATAGTAAATTTATCACACTTTAAGTTACTACGTGTTGTTGGACGAGGTGCATTTGGAAAGGTATCGAGTCGTATTAAAATACAAAATTACTCGGATGTTTTTTTTTTTTTTTTTGAATCGAAAGAATTTTAACAAAAAAAAAAAAAAAATTATTATTATAGGTTCGAATAGTTGAACGGCGCGACAACAAAAGATTATTTGCATTGAAATACATTTCAAAGGAAGAATGTATCAAAATGGAAGCTTTGCGAAATATATTTCGAGAACGGTCCATGTTGGAAGAATTGGATCATCCTTTGGTATGCAATTTACGCTTTGCATTCCAGGATGATGAATATATGTACATGGTCATGGACCTTATGTATGTGTGTGAATCAGTAGATCAATTCAAATATCATCTTTTTGATTTCAATTCATTTCTTCATTTGCTAATTGTAAATTTATAGGATGGGTGGTGATTTAAGATTCCACCTTAATAGAAAAACGTTCACCGAAGATGCGATACGATTCTGGATAGCAGAATTAGCATGTGCAATAAGATATCTACATTCAAAAGGAGTTGTTCATAGGTAAATCTTATACTACATGTAATTAATTATATTTATATTTATATCTCACAAACGCAAATTATCTTTAGGGATATAAAACCTGATAACGTCCTTCTTGACGACCATGGACATGCACACTTAACCGATTTCAATATCGCAACACACATAAGGCCAGATAAACTTTTGACATCACACTCTGGGACGTGTGCTTATATGGGTAAGTCTTTTTACTTTGTTCTCTTTTTTCTACTATCTTTATTTAACTCAACTTTTTCTTCCCGATATCACAGCTCCAGAGGTATTTAGAGGTGGCGGTTATGGCATCACAGTAGATTGGTGGTCACTTGGTGTTATGCTATATGAATGTATATATGGAAAGGTAGATTCTTGTTTTTCAAGATCATTTTTGCATTATTAAATATCAAAGGTGAACAATGTATTGATTGAGATTTATGTATATATTTATTTATTTATTTATTTATAGCGTCCATTTGATTGTGATAATCAGGAAGAGTTAAAGAAAATGATTGTAAAAGCACCTATAAAGTATCTTGACATGGACCCTCCTGTCAGTCCGGCTTGCGTCTCCGCGATTCAAGGAGTGAGTAAATCGATTCGCATTTAATCTCATCTTCATTAATCGATTACAAACATTTTTTATTGATTCAAAAATTTCTTCAATTTTTTTAAAGTTTCTTGAACGTGACACATCTCGTCGTTTAGGATGTGGACCTAATGGGTTCGCTCTTATTCAGAGTCATCCATTTTTCCGTAATATTGATTGGCCTTTGTTAGAAAATAAACGGATAAATCCGATTTTCAAACCTTCGTCAGACCGTATTAATTTTGACGCTACTTATGATTTGGAAGAATTACTTCTTGAGGAACAACCTTTAGAAGCAAGACATAATAGACGTCGAAGAAGACGTAAAGATGGTGAAGGTTCTGAGAAGGAAGCACATTATCAATTAATTGAAGAGAAATTTAAGACTTTTGATTATACTGTGTTTGAGAAATATGAAGGTTGGGTTGATCCTGTAACAAAATGTGTTGCGGATCCTCCGGAATGGGTTAAACCTGCTGCTGTCGAAGTTTTAAATCAAATCGAAAGAGGAAGTCAAGATGGGATCGGTGCTAATTCGGGTGATCTTAGTAATTTGGCTGGGATATCTTTAGACAATGGAATCAAAATTTGAAAATTTTATTTCAAAGAAAAGAAAAAAAAGAAAAAAAATTGTTCCAATCATTTTTTTTTTTTTTTTTTTTTTTTTTTTATTATTATTTTTAAGCTTTATTATATAAAAATTCAAATATTTATTCATTTCAATAATGTGAAATTACAACTTAAATTAAGAACAATTTATTGTAACCTTTCCAATGCATCAATTAAGGTTGTCATGTCACTTTTAATATTTTGTGTGTATCTTATAATTTTCTCCTAAAATTTTTTTTTGTAAATTTAATTTAATCAATATTAGTCGTAAATAAAGAAGAGGTGTTTCAAGTAGGAAAAAAATAAAAATAAAAATAATACCTTATTATCTAAAACCTCGATACTTTCAGTATATGGGTTGTACCTTACAGAAAATGGTCTATTCAATGTTTTCGCGAATTCTCGAACTTTTGTTTGGGCATCTTTAAACGATTCTGCAACAAAGTAAATCTTTATGATACGAAAACATTGTCATGGTTAAAATCATTGTAAATATATCCAAGATGTTAAAGCAAGAAAAAAATGGTTACCGGCTGATATTCTGTCACTATATATTTTTGTACGGATGTCTTAGAAGGATCAAATGACAATTTTTCAGGTTTATCCGTTAAAGCGTACTAAAAAAAGTTGAATTGTGAGTAATTTTTACAAATGAATTTGGTAGTAAAAGTTTTGAAATTAACTTACCTCCAATTCACCAAAAGAAGACAACAAACCGGCACCATATGCACGAATTTCATTTTCTTGGCGACAAAGACCAAATTCTACCGTAAACCAATAGATCTTAAAAGAAAATTATCGGGGGGGGGGGATTTTTTTTTTTTTAAAGTTAATCCTATGATTAAGTATCCCTACACAGGTTAAAATATTTACCGTAGATAGTTTTTCAATATCACTATCGCTAGCACCTAATGAAGACAAACCGATTTCCTAATAAAAATATAACAATCTTAACATTAATTCATTTAAATATGGTTAAATTAATAAAGATATATATACACATTACCTGAGAAAAATCGGCGAAATCTGGATCACAAAATAACGGAGCCTACAAAAATCATTCAAACTAAATTATTGTCATGGCAACAACATAATATGTTTAATTTAAACTCACGTGACCGAGGAGCTCGTGACACACATCACTAAAAAAAAAAGGCCAAAGATGGTATTAATATGTATTTCTTCATCATAAATTGTTGATATTCGATACGATACATACGGTTCTGGAGTGTAAAAAGGTTTGGAATGATGGCGAATGTATTGAGTGGAATGAAAGACTCGAAACGCGAGACTATTCAAGAAATCACGTGATGAAAGTAAACCCATAACGGGACGAAGAGTGAATCCAGTACATTCTGTAGAATGATTAAATATATACAAGAAAGTAGGGTATTAGATAAAGTTTTGAAGTTGTCAAAACGGACTGTATTTGTCCAACCCCTAGCGCGTACCTTGCAAGAATTTGGATACAGTCTCTAATTGTGGAATATTATCTTCTCCATAACCACAGTTCTGGACCAACAAGGGGAAAACATATTGGTGTTCTCTACAAGCGTGGGTAGGAAATAGTTTGGTCAAATTACGAAAAACGGTACCCCACGTAGAAATCTCTTCAGGTGCATATTTAATCTCCGGGATAGGTTGTCCATGACGATAAGTTTTGGCCAGACGCGTAATCTCAGAGCGACGTGCTCTATAAACAGGATCTTTGGCACCAGGATGATCAGAGTCTAGTATAGAAATTAGATATAGAAGTTAATATCATATCATATACATCTGATACATATCAAAGAAATCGAGTTTACCCAGTTCTTCACCCATCTCCAAAACTTTTTCGGCAAAGGAATCGAGGTCAGATTTTTTACGTGGGAACCACGGGACTTGTTCTGAAATGGTTTAATCGTTTAATCATTTACGCAAAAAAAAAGAAGAAAATTATATTAAATAACATACCTGTTGTAGCGCTAGTTGCACTCGTACTTACTACTTTAACTCGCTTTGTAATCTTTTCTAAAGCCGTAACGATACGAATAAGTTGTTTCGTATCTTCGGCACTAAAGTCCACGAAAAAATCATAATCCCAATCAGGTGTTCTACTTGGACGGCTGCAACGCAAACATTGATATATTCAAAAAAAAATGTTAAAATCATTAATTAAAAAGTAAGTAAAAGAATAATATTAATACCTTTCAATTCTAGTCAAAGAAACATTTAAGTCCTTAATAGTTGTTAAGCATTCATCCAAAACACCTAAACGATCATTAACACTGAAAAGTATGGTAGTAATAAAGGGACCACGATCATTAAGGTCGGTTGTGTGAGAGACTTCTGAGTACATTTTGAAAGAGTGAGAGTTGTAAGTGTCTAAAATATGGCGTTTATATATGACAATTTTTTGACATTTTTTGGGGGGTTGGTCTGTGCAGCGTGAGAAAATTCATAACTATTTTTAGCTTTTTTCATTGTCATATGGCCGCCACATAGAGAATGGGTAAATTAATTTTGTCATTTACTAGATTATACATTTATGAAAATTTACTTTTTAAAACTAACAATGGTTATGGTCTAAAATGTTTTGTTAAATCTTATTCGTCATATAATATATGGGAAATTGGTGATAATCATAATAGCTTCCTAATGAGTTGATGATAAATATGTTTACTTAAAATCTATAATCTAAAGGATCCAACTCTAGAAATATCATGAGACCATTGTTAATTAATTTTTGGTTGTAAAGATATTCATGTGACATGCGCTTATAAGAATGGATATTAAATTTGTTTTTCTCTCATATTTGTTTCGTACCAATAATCGACATGTTTAATTATAAAACAAAACAGAAAGATTTCCCTTTATTATAAAATTGTTTTACATTACAAATACCAAGTCATTCTATAATAAAAAAAAAATTAAATATAAAGAAAAATATTTTATGGATAAAGAAAATGAAAATAAATAATTAATTAATTATGAACAAATAAATAAGACTGTACAAATGGTAATGAAATAAATAATTTAATCATCTTTTCTATAGACTTTTTGATGACGAATTTCACATACCAGTTAAACATTAATAATTAATCAATTAATTAATTAATTTAAAGTGAAGAAGAGTGAAGAATAAGAATCCAATCATACTCTTCTCAACGACAAATTAGAATAACATTTAAATGTTTAACAAATAAATTCTAAACTAATAAAAGGTTTTATACAAATGAATTACAATTAACTAAATATTATTATATAAAATTAAATTACTTTTTACTATTATTCTCACCATCTACTCTATCTGCGTTTCCACTTTTAATTTCTTTTAATATCTCTGGAGGGATATGATGATGTGATTGATTTAATTTTTTGGTAGAAGTATCAGAACACGATTCTATAGATTTAAACCATGGATCCTGTTTAATTTTGCTAATATTAATACGCTTCGTTGCATTAGGTTCTAATATTTTATACATCAATTCTCTACAACCAAAAGGTAATTTTTCAAATGGTTCATATTGTCCAGAATTTCTTTTCTCTAAATAATTTGCATAATTTGGATCTGTTGGCGTTGCCATTCTAAATGGGATACCTTGGTATATCATCACATAATATACTATACCACATGCCCATACATCGACCAACCTCGCATCATATTCTTTTGTTTCAAATTGCTCCTACAAATTGGAAGAATACATATATTAATATAAATTCATATTTTTTTTTAAAAAAAAAAAAATCAAATCCTTATTTCCGGAACTCATTACTTACCGGAGAGATGTACGGTTCAGAGCCACATAAACCTTTTGACATATGAGCAGCCTCTTCCCAACAAGTTCTAAATACATCAGAAACACCAAAATCGGTGATTTTTAAATGACCTTTTGCGTCAAGTAAAAGATTTTCCGGTTTGATATCTCTATGAGCGACACCCATTTCATGTAAATAATCTACGCCCATGATAAGTTGTTTGAAACAACAATTTATTTCCAACGGGGTCATATGACCAGATTTTATAGCGGTGTATAAATCACCACCAACACAATATTCCATTACTTCACACCAATTATGATTCTCGTCTTGTATTAAATCAACCGTACGTACCACATTAATATGTTGTAAAGTTGAACTTATACAAAATTCACTCGTGAGTTTTTTAACATACTCCTTTTCCGTTTCATTCTTCTTTCTTTTTCTAAATTCCTTGACGGCATACGTTCTTTCAGAATCTGATTTATCGAATTTGTGAGCGAGACGTACAACTGCTGTTGCACCTTTACCAATACAACCTTTTTCACATACACCATATTTTTTTAACATTGATTCACTGTCTATCATACCATTATCGCTACCACTATCACTTCTTTGCATTTGTTTATGACTATCAAGATCAAGGGTAGGGTTAAGAATTTCTTTCAACATGGATAATTTATCAGACGTGTTATTAATAAAAATGAACTCTCCTTTTTCTTCTATGGGTGAGGCAATAGGGAGCGGAAATTTTGTTTGCTGTTGTTCTCCATTTCCTTTTGGTTCATGATGAAACAATTTGTGCACGCTTTGTCTCACCAAGCTCATCTTTTTATGAGTATCATCAACTTTGGAATTGGCAACGATAGGAGTAACATCAACAGTTGTGGCATGTACAATTGATAAATTACGATCAATTGGTGAAGAAGGAGCATTCGAAAGGGTATGCGTTTTAATAAGTGAAAACGTATCAGTTGTAGGTGTATTAGGCTTACTGTTAGATGATGGAGGAGAATTCTTATAATCATTATTAAAAGTTTTATTTGGGTTGGTTATATCAACATGTAACTTTTTATT